AAAGACAATTTCCCCACGGGGATCAATAAAGTATCAATTATTAAATTATTATTATTAATACTCATCCAGAATTAGTGTGTTGTTAGCCGATCAGATGTCTTTTAATATGCTGTGTGGGATTGACTTTACTGACACTGAGGGAAATTCTGGTGCTAACAGCAGTAGTAACAGTGCACAGACGAACATACTTGTAGTGTCAAGCAGGCGAAGTGCAAAGACAGTACACATACTGCAAACAGCTTTACACAAATGTACCTAAATATCCTCATAACAGAATACTGTAATATAGGAATACATATTTATAGACTAGAAAAATTGTGATGTGATGCAGATAGCACCAGATTTGGATCATTACATAGATGAGTCACTTCCTGGCATGTTATGGCGGGGGCAGGTTGGGAGGAGGTGGGTTCAGCTCCCTCATCAGTCTGGCCTGGGTTCAATTCCCTGTCAAGGAAGCAGTGATGCCACTGAATTTCCCCTTGGGATCAATGAAGTACATTTTTATTGAATATAAAATGTTCAGACTCCCGGTGGATGCCTGAAGCAACAAATAGTACCAAACTCAATTTTACTATGTCTTTTCCTGCACATGTACTTATGATAAATTTTTAAAATATATAAACTAGGCACAATAGTAGATTAACAACAATAACTACTAACAAAATGGAACAATTGTAACAATATACTGCACTGCGATACCTTGACAGTCAATAGAACCAAGATGGCTGCTAAGTGACCAATGGGCAGGTATACGGCGAAGTTATGCCGGGGAAGCATAGGAAGCAAAGGAATGATCAATGTCCCAGGCAGGATAGCACGAGATTTCAGATCCTCAGAACAGTGCGCAGTTTAAAGCTTATGAATTTTTTGGAATTTTCCATTTTATATTTCGGGACCATGGTTGACTGTGGGTAACTGAAATCATATAAAGTGAAATCGCGGAGGGGGGGCACTGGATTTGTTCAGTCTTTCTCTATACATGCAGTTACACCATCTTACCTCTGAGTGTCAGCAGTGAGCTATGTCCTGCAGTGATGTCACACCCCCTGTTCTCCATCCACAGGAATCACACTCTCAGAATATTTCAGAGACATGGGTTACAACGTCAGCATGATGGCTGACTCCACCTCACGATGGGCTGAGGCCCTTAGGGAGATCTCGGGTCGTCTGGCAGAGATGCCTGCTGGTGAGTGTGCCCCCCTATTGGAGCACCATGGCAGTCCAGCAGAATCTTGGATCATTAATAGAGATTATTTGTGCCCACTGACTTTCTGCAGACAGTGGATACCCCGCCTACCTGGGGGCGCGGCTGGCCTCCTTCTACGAGCGAGCAGGACGGGTGAAATGCCTGGGCAATCCTGAGCGAGAGGGCAGCGTCAGCATCGTGGGGGCGTAAGTACACACTCTGCCCAGCAGGTGGCACTCTTGGTGCTTGTGTGAGGCAAACCCTGCCCTGCTGTAACCCAGGCCTCCCTGTCTCGCCCCCTCCCAGTGTGTCGCCCCCTGGTGGTGATTTTTCAGATCCTGTGACATCTGCTACCCTGGGAATCGTGCAGGTAATCCTATACAGACAGAGATAGAAGGGTTAGGGTGGAGGGGGGTTGAGGCCCTGCTCGCTATTTTCACACACCGCCACCCCCTGTAGGTCTTCTGGGGTCTGGATAAGAAGCTGGCCCAGAGGAAGCACTTCCCGTCAGTGAATTGGCTCATCAGTTACAGCAAGTACACGCGAGCGCTGGATGAATACTATGACAAGCACTTCGCTGAGTTTGTGCCGTTGCGCACCAAGGCCAAGGAGATCCTCCAGGAGGAGGAGGACCTGGCTGAGATTGTGCAGCTCGTGGGCAAGGTGGGGGCAGGCTGTCACTTGAGCGGGGCAGTGGGGCTAAAGGTGGTCTGGTTTGCAGGACGTTCTAATGGCACCTGTTCCCACCTTCCTGTCTGTTCCCGCTTCCATGGTAACAGGCCTCCCTCGCAGAAACAGACAAGATCACGCTGGAGGTGGCCAAGCTGATCAAGGATGACTTCCTGCAGCAGAACGGCTATACGCCGTACGATAGGTGAGCGGCTCAAGTTGGGACCTAACCTAACGGTGCCAAACCGAGCGGGCTGACCTAACAGTGCCAAACTGAGGAACTGAATGTGGCCCCTTCTGGCAGGTTCTGCCCCTTCTACAAGACAGTGGGCATGCTGTCCAACATGATCGCTTTCTATGACATGGCGCGGCACGCCGTGGAGAGCACAGCCCAGAGCGACAGTAAGATCACCTGGGCCATGATCCGTGAGCACATGAGTGAGATTCTCTACAGGATCAGCTCCATGAAGTTCAAGGTGAGGCCCTGGGCCACATGTGCAGGGGGGGGCATCACTCTGCAGGAGAGTCCTGACGCCCATGCCTCTCTGTAGGACCCAGTGAAGGACGGCGAGGCCAAAATCAAGCAGGACTATGGCCAGCTCCTAGAAGACATGCAGAACGCCTTCCGCAGCCTGGAGGACTGAGTGGGCTCAGCCCCTGACCCCAGCACCCGGTGGCCCTGCAGCGGTCTGGACACACAGCCACATTCCATGAGCGTGTGTGTTTTTGGTTCCAGTGAATCTGTCATTTGTTGCTGCTCATATGCGTGTGGAGTCGGAAACCCTCAGCCTCTCCAGTGTCGTGTATGTGTGGGTGCATACGTGTGGCTCCCCACTTGGACCCCCTTCCTGGATATTTTTGCTGTTGCCCATAGAGTGGTTTATTTATTACAGGCCTCATATGCGGCCTGCCCCCTGCCAGCAATCTACTTGTTTCCTCATAGTTGTATTCTTGATCGTACCGTCCTGTGTTTTTGCTGTGTGTGAAGCACATGCTTAGTCCATAGTTTACTCTTTTTGTGGTACATGTGTTAAGTCCCGAACAATAAAATAAACGACTGTCTGATGGCAGATTCTCATTCCGACATGGTGCTGAGCAAAGATATCACAGACAGAGATATCACGTACATTACGCTGTGAGGACCAAACGTCCCCACATTGATAAACTTATTTTGACCTTGTGGAGACATTTTCAGTCCCCACTAGGTTTTATAAAAATATGACTGAACTCAAAAATACTAAAAATGCCAAAAGTTTTGCATTTTGTTTGGTTACTTACGGTTAAGATTAAGGCTGGGTAGGGGTTAAGGTTATGCCCATAGAAATGAATCAAGAGTCCTCACGAAGATATAGATAGCTCAGGTGAATCTCAATATGTGTACTTCACTGTACTTGTGTTTTACATTTTACGTCATCTTCCATTGCCGAAGGCCAGTTCAATACTAAGAATAGAAGTACAGAGGACAGTAAAAATCCCCGGATGTTGGTCTTGCTCCACCACAAATATCAAGGATACATCGGTTGCATCCTCGCCAAACAAGACCAATCCCATGTTTCACTGGACCCCAAGTTTGGTCTTAGAAAGCAAGTTTGCAAGACCGGTCTTGCCAAGACCACAAGTACGGTCTTTGCATTCTCCTTGAGAAGCAGCGCTAGTCTGTGTCTATGAGTCAGTGTGTATCTGTAAGTCTGTGATTATGTTTCTGTGTGTGTGTTTGTGTCTGTATGTGTTTGTATTTGTGTTTCTGTGTCTATGTCTGTGTCCGTGTGTGATTGTATGTGTGTGCGTTTGTGTGTGTCTGCGTTTTGGTGTGACACTGTATGTATGGCACTATGTATGTGTGTGTGTGTTTGTGTCTGTATGTCTGTGTGTGTTTGTGTGTGACTATAGGTGTGATTCTGTGTTTGAATGTCTCTGTGTGTTTGTATTTGTGTGTGTCTGCATTTGTGTGTGACTATATGTGTGTGTCTGTGTGATGCCACAGGTTCGTCCTGCCCAGAGGTGTGACACATTCCTCTCTGATTTTTCCTTCTTTGTCCTTCACAGTCTGAAAAGCAACTTCATTCAGGTTCTTGCCTTATATGCATAGAAATAGCATGAATGCCTGCCTGAAACTGGTTTCAATCCAGTATGGCAGCATTCTGTCAGTGGGGCCCTAAACGGGCAGCTCAGGCTTGCCTTTAGCACCATGCAGCCACTGGATGTGATGTAGCCAGTGTCGAGGATGTATCTCAGTGGGGCGGCCATGAACCCATGGCCAAATGCTGCAGTCTGCTAGTAAAAGTAGAGGTTAGTGTTTGTGCTGTAGCAATGGGAGTGGGAGCTGATTCTGCACAGTGCCTCCTGTTGGACCAGAATGGCAAGTGCTTGGAGTACAAAGTATAGGGTTCTGGATGTCTCTGTGTCAAAGAGAGCCCTAACTGCAAAAAGAGTTTAACATCTGGGTAAAGTCTGACAATAAATTACTGTAGTGATTAGTAATCACTCACTTTCACTATTTAAGTTTCCAAACCAATACTGACTGTTGTGGCATAATACTACAGTAGCCTACATAATTTAACATATATTTAACATACACTAAAGGCATTACTATTAAAGCTTAAACTGGGACTTTCTGCGTCAGAAACTGGGATTTCAAGCGGATAACCGGCTACGTTTACTTAGTGTTTTCAGGTCAAAGGCTGTTCTACCACACGTATCTCGACAAAGACTACTATACAAATACGGAAACGTTATCACTCTTACAGGTTAAATTTGCGTTAAAACGATCATGCTCCATCCAAGGTATCAATAGGCCTACTAACCGTAAAAATGCACATTTATGTCAGGGATAAATCATTTATGGCACACAGGGCTTTTGCTGGATGTTCTAACCGTAGCCAGCTGATGCCTGCAGTTACATTTCTGGGCGAAGCGCGGCTGCCTACAGCGCGGAATCTACTGAGAAGTATAATTAAACTGAAGTCTTTTCATCGTTCTGTTTACGCCCGTTAAACCACATCAATGTGCAAGTAACTGACTCATTGGAATTTAAAGTCCAAATGGTGGGTGAGGTAAAACCCGAACTTTTAGCAGATCTTGAAGGACTCCTCCTCGTCTTTATAACCTCCACACGGAGGTTTATTTCCGCCCTGGTGAAAGACGGCCGGAGGGCATGGTCCCCCGGGGTCCCGGGCAGGATAAACCGGTTCCCACACATGCGCCTCCCGACACAGGCACGGTAAGCGAAACCCGGTTTGCGAGCCGTTTGAAGCGCTTTCTAACACAGAGTGAGCTGATCCGCACCGCATACCTGATTCTCGGGGATTCACCGGCTCAGGTAGGTCGCGGGCTGCACTTTTATGGAATATGAATATTTTTACTCGTCTTCTGTATTTACACTATAGTTCACTGTTTGATATGGATCGACAACATACAGTATAGTCTCACTGCGTGTTTTGGATCTACATATTTTAGTGTCTTATCAGTCTGCAAAATAATTCATTGCGTGTTATGAAAATGTAGTACTCCGTGACATTTTATGCATGTACAATATCACCTTTAACATTTACAGTTTACTTGATTCGGTGCTGTATATATCTACATAACTTCCACGTATGAATCTGCTGTATGCATCTTAACCTGTTTTCTACAGTGCTATTTGCTGCAATGTTTATTCCTGCTTTACCAATATTATGGACGATGATCAGCAGCCTCACTTATCAGTAATTAAGTCCCTCTAAGGCTGGGGACAGGGCTGCCACCCACCCATCTCCTCCATCCTGAGAAGGTCCAACACCGGTCCAGATCTCATCAGAACATCTCCTGGGCTGACGACCCAGCCAGCCCGGTAGGGGATGTGGTTTGATGCCGTTAGTGACGATGATTGCCAGGGTGACGACAAAGGCACCACAGAGGAAGCTGAGGTTGGAACCTGCAATACACTCAAAGTTATAGTGTCATGACCTGCATCTCCCAAAGAACACAGCAGATCCCATTAAACTCTTATTAATCCAATCCAACATTAATTCAATGCAATTAATACAAATTACATTGATTCCTGCTCTATGGACTGCCTCCATCTAGTGGAAGTATCATGGAATTACAACCAAATTCAGGCGCTCCGTGACACTTTTCACAGGAACATCTATATCAGGGTTATTCAAATCACGGTCCTCGAGGTCCGAGCACTGCTGGTTTTCAAACCTGCAGAAAATTCATGTCACATTATCAATGACCGCCCCCCCAAAACACATTTAACTTCAGTATTTTATTGTAAAGTATTTCACGCTGTTTACCCACCTGTGGCCTCTGTACAGTGCTTGATCTCCCCACAAGCCCCACCCACCTGCTACACACAGCGGAGCGAGGAGTTCAGGAAGCTCTTCAAAGTCCTGCCAGAGTCTGAGATGCTCATAATGGGTGAGAGAGAGAGTAACAGTTTAGCGGCACTTGAAGCACTGCATGCATTACTCCACTCACAGCCCCTCCCTCCCCACCTGGGTGCCATGCAGACTGCGCCTGCGCTCTCCAGAGAGACATCTTGCTGCAAGGGCGGCTCTACCTCTCAGAGGGCTGGCTGTGCTTTCATACCAATGTCTTTCGGGGCACAACGGTGAGGAGAAGAATGGAGAGGAGTGACAGCCTTGGAATCAGGGGCCTCACCGTCCCTCTGCTGACCTCTTGCTTTCTCCATCATAGCTGAAGGTGCCCTTGAAAATCATCACTGCCGTGTCCCGGGAGAAGACGGCCATCTTCATCCCTAATGCCATTCAGATCTGCACTGAGGCCGAGAAGGTAGCAGCAGGGCACACACACAAATGCACCCACCTACACTGCATCCATTTAGCACTTGTTTTTTATCCAAGGCAATGTGCATTTTTGAAGAAGCAGCATCAGACAGTCCCTGGGGCAACTGGAAGTTACTCAAGGGCTCTGTCAGCCCTGGGATCTGAACCGGCCAACTTACAATGACAGACACAGCAACTAACCTAACCTGCTGAGCCACACGCACACACACAAAAAGTATAAAGCATGGTGGATTGGAGGCCATGTAACCACACCCACATAGCCCACCCCCATCAGGTGGACAGCGGTTTCATGACAATGTGTTTCTTGTCCTCCCCATAGTTATTTTTTACATCCTTCTCATCGAGGGAGAAGAGCTTCCAAAGCATCTTCAGAATGTGGCAGAACATGCTTCTGGACAAGGTGATCGAACAATCACAACACATGCCATCTATGCCAGGAACCAATCCGAAATCAGTATTTTTGTATTTTTAGTCTCTTCATAGACCATACTAATCAACCCCTCTCTGCTCATCATGGTAAGGAGAGGAAGGAATCACGCCTGTGCGGTCTCAGTCTCTCAGATGTCAAAGGGTACACGTCTGGCAACCAGATACCAGAATAAATTCTTGGGTGTTCCCTATGTTGGAAACGGCTGGCTGTCCTTAATGTGCTGCATATATTTCATGATGCTGCTCACCTCTGTGCACGTGCTCACACCTTCAGGGAGATATCGCAGCCCACCAATACAACAGGACAAAATTCAGCATTGTCACAAGCCAGAGTCAAAGTGCCACAACCTGACATACTTTGGACTCGATGCCTGATTTACGTGAGATAACGCAAAATGCAAATGATTTTCTCAGTAGGTTATTAGAAAGCTGTAGATAGGCGAAGAGCCGCCCTGGTCTCACGGTTGAACTGCATAATATAACTGTGGTCGCAGTTCAACTGGCTCAGTGCGGCGTTTATGGCTACGTCCGCCCTGCGGACCAATGCTCCAGGGGTTGATGGTCGGGGGACTACGCCGTGGTAAACAACCCTATAAATACCATTAATACAGCCGGGAGTATTTACGGGCACATATGCACTGCCGCGTCACCCTTTGTACTTGTATATTTCGTGCACCGGCGGTTCCTCTAGGGCGCGTCTCGATCAGCCTGCGGTGTCCGGCAGGTTTGTATGGGCTGTCCCGCCCAGCGCCTGCGTGTGGGTGTCAGTAGGTGGAGCGAAGGTGCACCTTTGTGCCAGCCCCCTTGAGGCGCACAGGTTTATCGCGTTCACGGCTGCAGGTGGACGACGTCCTGGTGGGGAGTGCTGCCACTGCGGAAGCGCCGTTCCGATACGGATTGGAGGGAGCATCAGCCTGTGCTGTGCACAGAGGTTTTGTTATGACGCCTGCTTGGTGAAGACGGTAGGGCGGGTGTTGCTGTTTTCGTCACCGGTTACTTTGTTTCTGAAGTTGTGAACACGGTCTTCCTGAAACACCGCGTCAGGGATCCACCGGCCGCGGTGCTGCACCTGCCCCATCTCTGACCACCCGCTGCATACCCAACGTTTGCGCAGCGCAGTGAAGTTTGACCTTCCGCTTTTGGGAGAAATTTTCACTGGATCCGCGGTACGTTTTGCTACCAGCAATTGTTTCCCCCAAACTGTCCGCCGTTTTCATGATCACAGCTTAACCATTACGGCCGTTTCGCCGCTTGCTACAATTAATCATTTTGAAAGCTAAATAAACTCCTTAAACCATTTATAGTGAATGTTTAGATGGGAGTGGTTGGGGGAAACGGACGCTCGGGTACTGAGTTTCGGTGTTTTTCCTGACGGTAACACACCTACAGCGCCCACCCTCGGGAGTTTATGAGCAACTTTTGGGTGACTTAACACTTACTTGTAGTCCTAACTTGTTGCTTGAAGATTTAACAATTCTAAAGTTAAAGTTGTCAGCATAATAATTAGTTGAAGTGTTTAGGAAGGGAGGAGAGCTGGAATTTCTGGGTTAAAGCAGATACTTGTTAAAGATTACGTTTGTGTGTGTTAAGAGAGAATGGATTATCTGGTTAATCATTCGTATGTGTTTTCCTCACTGGCCTCAGCCCCTGACCAAGCCTGAGCTCTGGCACATGGTCCTGCTGCACTATGGAGGCGACGTGGGCCTGAGCCGCGAGGACATGGAGAACGTTCTGGTATCTGAGACTACCAGGTGAACATACTCCTTTTCTTTATGCTGCTTATGGGACCTTTACAGGGTGAACATGGATGTTGAGGAAAACATTTCTGAATGTGTTTCTTCACAATGTTTAAGTGATTGAGCCCAGGTAATACTTGGTCTTCCTCTTCTGTAGTGTGGAATGTTGTAATTCATGAGGTGATGAGAAAATAGGGTAATTCTGGCTCAACTCCACAAATGATCTAAGCTTGACCATCTGAGATTTGAACAATTTTGCAGCATTTTGTTTGACCCTGAGCCAATATAAATAATCCAAAACTTCTTTAGCCTACCTCATATAGTTTAGGAGTTACACTGGCTTGAAATTCAATGAGATTTTTCCTTTGTTTGCAAAAAATGCTTGGTCACCCTTTTTTGGATGCCTGTATCTTTGCAACAGTAACACCTAGGCACCTGAAAACAAATGTTGATATAAAGGTCTTGGCCTGATTCCAAATATGTATTCATTTACCCAACTTGTACCCATGTACCCAACTTAAGATAAACATTATTACTCTAATCTGTCAAGAGGCCCAGAATCTCAGGGGGTTGTAAAAATATTGTCACTTTCATATGAAAGTTCTTGGTTCCATTTAATCGAATGGTGTTTTCTGTTTAGCTTCAAATTGTCAATAAAACCCTTGGAACACAAAACACCATGCCGATTTTTTAATATGTTGTAAAGGGAACCTAGAATATTTTTGTCAGGTGCCTAGGTGTTACCGTTGCAAAGATACAGGCATCTGAAAATGGGCAACCAAGCATTTTTGCAAACGAAGGAAAAATCTCATTGAATTTCAAGTCAGTGTAACTCCTAAACTATATGAGGTAGGCTAAAGAAATGCTGGATTATTCATATTAGCCCAGGGTCAAACCATGCCACAAAATGGTTCAATTCTCAGATGGTTGAGCATGGACGATACCAAATGTTTGTTGGTTTGAGGTGGAATGACCCTATACAATTAGTAATTAGTAATCAGACCAACTTTGTAATCACTATCTACAGTGGTGGTAGAGGGTTTCTGAAATATCACAGGATTAGATTTTCTGGATGCAGCACTTTTGTCCAGGCAAATGGGCAATCGGCAGTTTGTTACTGGAACTTCAATGGCATTTCATTCTCTCAGCATGGCAGCACGGGCAGCTGGAGAGGAGCATGCTGGGAGACGCGAGAGACCCACCTCCCTCCGTATCCTGCCAACCAGTTTGCCATCAGTGGGTAGAAGTTCCCCAGCTGGAGAGGAGCCACAGTCATCATCTCTGTCTGGGGGGGGCTCCGTGAACACAGTAAGGGCTTGAGTGGCATCAGAGGCTCAGTGTGGTGGGCCAACCAATCATTCAGTCAGTCTCATAAAGAGTTGGGGGTGGGTGGATTTGAGGGTATATAATTGGACTGTTTGACACTGATGTTACCATGTGTTTTTAAAGGAGGGCTCGCGTTCTCCTGCATCCCGCCACCGGACTTCAGATAAACTGTTGGACCGGAGTGTACTGGAAAGGGGGTCCAAGCGTTCTGAGTTGCCTCTGGATCGGGGTGCTCAGGAAAGGGCATCCAAACGTGTGGATGTGCCTTTGGACCGGACTACCCCAGAAAGGGCGTCCAAACGCTTGGAGGTGCCTCTGGATCGGACTGCCCCAGAAAGGGCATCCAAACGCTTGGAGGTGCCTCTGGACCGGACTGCCCCAGAAAGGGCATCCAAACGCTTGGAGGTGCCTCTGGACCGGACTGCCGCTGAAAGGGGGTCCAAACGCTTGGAGTCCCCTTTGGACCGAACCACCCCGGAAAGGACGTCTAAGCACCTGGAGTCCCCTCTGGACCAAACTACCCCTGAAAGGGGGTCTAAACATTCTCATTCTCCTCTGAATCGATCTGGCTCAGAAAGGGTGTCCAAATGCCCTGAGACAACCCTGGACCTTAATGATAATGAGGACCATGTCACAGAGGGCAGCAGCTCAGAAAGTGTGGAAGATGGTGAGCAATCATGCCAACCCGCGAGTGTCTTCCCCCTCCAATCATCCCCCTGGCTTGTTTACTAACCCCTTCTCTTTAATGTCTCTGCAGATGAGTCTGCATGTCCAGCCCCTGTCCAGGGTAAAGTGTATATAAACCGCCTCTTCCACTTGAGTGCAGAAAAGATGTTTGAGCTGCTCTTTACAGATTCTCCTTTCATCCGGAGGTTCATGGAAGCCAGAAAGGTGACAGGTAATTCCTGTCTGTGCCCTTTCAGTTGAGCAGGAACACCTGGAAATGATCACAATGTCATCCAGTCGTCCCATAAACAATGTAAATAGCATCATCTCCTTCATCTGTCTCCAGGTATCACCTTCACACCTTGGCAGAAGGATGCCTCTGGTAACATGAAAAGAACACTAAACTACACTGTCACCATCAATAATCCACTGATAGGGAAGTCCACCACAGCCACGGAGACCCAGGTATACAGGGATGGGGGAGAGAGAGGGAGGGGGGGAGAGAGAGGGAGGGAGGGAGGGAGGGAGAGAGATCGTTCGTTCAATTTATTCGTTGATCGATATCTGCCACACGCCTCCCCAGACCCTCTACAGGGACGCACAAGTTGGACAGCACTACCTAGTGGAAGCTGAGGTCTATACCCATGATGTTCCATACCATGATTATTTCTACACACACAACCGTTTTTGCATCTCTCACAACTCCAAACATGAATGTCACCTCAGGTGAGCTGCCTGCCCTCCTGACCTGGCCGTCCTTCCTCCTGTACTGTTTCTCAGGGTCAAGCGCCCATCTGATTCTGCCATGGTGCTCAATGTGCCTCTTTGTGTTCAGGGTCTACACAGACGTGAAGTACAAGAGACAGCCCTGGGGTTTGGTCAAATCCTTCATTGCCAAGAACTCCTGGAGTGGCCTGGCGGACTATTTTCGACATCTCGGTGCATGCTCTTGTCTTTGTTGTCTGATGATAAACTAAAACATGGGATGTTATTCTTCTGGTTTCTTGAAACCAGCATCTCAATCCCCTGGAGGAACAAGGAGGGGGAAACCTAAACAATATGACATTTTTATAGCTGATGGTTTCAAGTCAAGGAGAAAATTGTCAATGAACAACCCAAAGAGGGCAGTGGAGCACTTGCTTGATGACCTAGGGAGTAGTCAAACTCGAACAGAAGATTGTGGTGTGACCTGACCATATGTAGTCGTGGTCAAATGGAAGCTTGGCATAACCTGGCCAAAGGTAGTTGTGGTTATACAGACACTTGGTGTGACCCAGCCATAGGTAGTCATGGTCAGACGGAAGCTTGGTGTGACCCGGCTGTAGTCAGTTCTGGTTAAATGGAAGCTCAGCATGACCTGGCTGCAGGTAGTTGTGGTTAAACCGAAGTCCCTACCCAGGTAGCTGGAAATAGACTCAATGGGTCTTGACCTTTGGAATATAGTGCTAGTTATCTGTGTTGATTAGGTTAAACTGGATATGTTAACTTCATCCTTATTTCTTTAATGCTTTTTGTGTCAGTTTCAGTATACGATGAGATTTACCAGATGCCCTTGTATGATATCTTCCATAAGTGCATTCTGCCATGGTGTTTTTGGTATCCTACTTAGCCCTGTTTCCCTGCTGCCATGTCATCACTTCCTGGCCCAGGAGCAGAGTGCATGATCTCGTTAGACAACTGCTGATGCTGCTAATGGGCCTCTAAGTGGGCAGGCTGTACTGAGCCTCGTCTAAGCGTGTTCATGTCCAGCACAGCTATGCCGATGGGCTCTGAGCACCCTCTACAGCACTTATGTTTTCCTCTGTTTTTGGAAAAATCTGGACTTGAACCTCAAGCAGAGAGCATAATTCACATCCTTCATAAAAATAAATCAAATTTACTGTGTTTAGCATTTTGTATTCTGGGAAATTTGTTTATTTGGCCAGATTTGGAATTGCAGTGTTCTAGATTCATCTAAAAACTGGAGCAGAATGTGAACTGTGTCTGCCCTCCTTTAGCAGAGCCGCGGTAGCTCCTTTAGTGCCGTCATGGGGAACTCCTTCAGCGGGCCATGGGGACCCCTATGGCAAGGCCAGCAGGGTGCCCCCCGTTCTCCCAGCTTATGGCCATAATAGTGTGTGATCCTTGCAGAGGCGGAGCTGCTGGAGGAGGAGGCAGAGTCTGCGCCGGTGGGTGGGGACAGTAAGGCAGGTGGCGTGCGGCGCCGTAGGAGGACCTACAGCCGCTCAGTCCCAGAACATTTTAAAGCCAGCAAGCAGTTTGGTGTGGAGGCAGATCTCCACCGGGACCGACTCTCAGGTGCAGAGGCGTGTACGGTTGCCTGTGGTTCTGGTCATATGCACATGCACAGATGACACAGCTGTCAACAATGTCCTCCCCACAGGTTCCCTGGACAGGAAGGGCCCACAACGATGGAACATCGGCATGATTGTGGTGGCTATGAGCTTCATGTGAGTGTGGTTAGCGAGTCGTGGGTGTGTGACCCCCGTGCATGACCCTAATGGATCCCCTTTCCTCATCCAGACTGCTCATCCTGACTGTACTGAATCTCAGCCTCTTCCTGAAGTTGTGGGCCATGGAAGACGTGGCCCAGCGCATGTACCTGAGCACCAAGCAGCGCCTCAGGGAGAGGGTGGAGTCCAGGTGAGCCTTGGCATCCCGGCCACCTCTCTGTGCTTCCCCCATGGGCCCTGTGCTCACCCTCACCTCTCTGTCTTCCAGTCTAACCCCAGACACAGAGCCCCGTCGGTATCCTCCTCTCAGGGATATGGAGGAGACCCACTTGCTGAGGTCTGTGCTGCAGGACTCCATCGACCTGCTTGAACAGGTGCGTTAGCCTGATTACTTTTCGCTAGGGCCTTGTGAAAGGCAACAGGTCATGTGATTTGACTGTGTGCCAGTCTAACCCTAACACTCTATCCTTACAGCTGCGCAGCTCTTTGGTGCTTCTGCAGCAGAGCTTCAAGGTACAGAATGAGACCGGCCCCCCAGACTAAAGTTCCTCCTCCAAACTGAAGCCCTGCCTCTATTGGAGCCCCACATTCAGGGTGCAGCGCTGCCCCTGGAGCAGTGCATAATATGGGTCTGCTGGTCTTCCATGTCATCCTCAATTGAAGCGTACTATGACAAATCATAAATGTCCCATGTGTTCTGTACTATAACCTTCAGCTGAAGGTGTGTTTCTTGTAAGCTGGTTCTGCTGGTGGAACCAGAAGCCGACGCCAGCGCTGGGCTTTGACTGTGATCATTTTAAATTTTGATTAACGGATAGTATGTTTTCAGTTAGCTTTTACATATGGTATTTTTGTTTTGGTGAGCATAGAATAATTTAGTCCAGGTCAAGCGGAGGCTGTGATCCTGTGCTCCTGTCCCATTTCTCACGCTCTCTGAAGTGTGCATGTGATTTTATTTGTGTACTTTTTAAGATGAAGGTTGATCCTCCGTTCCTAAATTTTTAACGAGCCTCACGCCACCGCCTCCATCTCTGGTGTTCCTGTTTAACTGGCTTGTTTCTGTGTTTGTCTGCACTGGGAGCATGTGTGTTTATTTCAGTTCCATGGTTAAATGTGACCCGTGCTGTTGACCCACTGTGACACCCGCACATTGCTTTCTAATAAAGGTTTTCACATCTGTGTGTCTAATTGTGTGATGGTGGGGTCTTTCTGCCAGTCATGTGATGACACCCTCCATTCCAGGCTTTTTGAGCGGCTCAGGGTTAAGGTGCTTCTGGCTGGAAGCTGGGGCTCTCACTCATCCTGTTCCCAGGAGGGTGTGTAATGCGTAATATGATCCCATATTAAGCGCTTCTTTGTCTGCTCTAGTATCCTATCAGCTCTGGCCCATGGCCGCTGCATAAATATGCAGATATGGCCATTAGTGTACTGCCCTGCTTGTTATTGCTGTTGAATATCAAAATAGTGATTACAATGCTATTTACAGCTGCCCTATAAACAGGAACTCATTAAAAGTACATAAATAAAACCAGTGACACTGAAAGAAGTAAATAAAAGCACTGTTGTCCACAGTGCCCCCGGAGCTCATTGCCATTTCAACCCTTCACTTCCACTGGGACATCTCCTCCCCGGAGAGCTGTGAGATCTTCACACGTGGACAGTAAAGGGTTAGCGGCCACTGACGTCAGGAGTCTGCGGGAGGAAGCTGCTTCACTCGCACTTAGTATACACTGCATGCAGGCGTATCGTCGCCTGGCGGAGAACACCCACACCCCGTTCCGCCTCCAGATCCCACTTTGACTCCGACCTCGGCTCCGATTCCGCTTCGCCACGGACCGCGGGCGCAATCTGCGAGTTCAAGTCATCGCGCCCCCGCCTGCCCCTTGCCGGTGGGCTGAAAGGTGACTTCTGCTGTCAGACGAAAGTTCGCCCACACTTCGGACACGTCCGGAGCCCGCCTCGCTGATTTCCCATTAATGTGCAACAAGTACGCTGCCGCTACGCTCAAGGTGGGTCCCGGAGCCGACCAGAGACTCCGTGCAGTGCCTCGGCTCAGTGCGTGCTGCCGGACCGCCATGTGTGGCGTAGCGGTGCCGGGACGTGTGTGAGAGCTGCTTTAATAAAGGTCAGCCGGTTAGTCCCGCGTTGGTGGATGCGGTTTCGCTTTCATTTCCCTCGAATTTGTGCGCGCCCAGCCATGCTGCCTATCCGCACTTCGGCTTAAGTTTTGCTGAGGGATCGTCACACACCGCCACAGACATAGATGCACATTTCGGGACTGTCACACACCAGCATGGCCATACATGCACACATGTTGTTGAAACAGCCCCAGTCAATCAGGATGAGCGCCACGCCTGACCGGCTTACCCCGAGGCGGCGTCACTTAACCTGCCTTTGCTCTCGCAAACACTAAGCAGGCGCCGTAACTTGATCACTTCGCTTTCAGCGTAATGTGTGTTAAGTAGGAGGTCTATCGATCCATATTCAGCTCATAAGCTTAACATCAGTCTGTGTCTTGATATAGAAGCATAGCTGCTTTTTATTCCGTTTGGCTTTCTTTCAAATTGAAATTGGCTCGTAGGATACACACTTTGTAACAGGATACAGCAAAGCGCTGATTTCCAGGACTGCCAGCCTGAATGGGGCGTTAAGCCGACCGAAACTGGAGACGGCGGATGTGTTATGTGATTCGTGAAGTATGGATGAAGGGTTAGCTGTTGCTAAGCATCTCTTTATATCTCTCAAACTGTTTTTTTTTGAGCGAATAGCTTCTGGCTTCCAGCCTGTGAGGAGCCACTCGCCACATTTAGAGACTGCAAGCTTTCCCGCTTACAGTTGCCATCTCTGGTTTCCACTGCTGTCAAGTTCATGGGCAACAAAATGAATTGTCCTAGTTAGTGGTTCTCCTGGGACCAGTCTGACCTTGTTTCTTAGACGAGGACATGGTTCTGGCGAAGAAGGATTGTTGCGGATAACCGAATCAGAACAGCCGTGGCCTAATTTGTAAGCCCCTGAGACGTTCCTGTCCCAGGCTGGTCTTGCGCTAGTCTTGTACAAGTCCCATGCTAGTTCTGTATGGATCCTGTGCTGGTCCCATACTGCTTCTTTGCAAACCAAGAGTCCAGGTAGCTGCATTCTCATGTGAGACTTTGTGATCTACACTGGTTCTGTCGCAGGCCAGTGTGGCTTGTCAGGAGGGAGCAGTGAAGGTGTGCCAGTATGCCATCTCCTGGTCTCCCCAGCAGCTGTCGCCACTCACTCCCACTTCCTTTCTCTCACAGGGCTCCTGTCTGCCTGGTGCTGCTACTCCTGTTTGTGATTGGCTGATCCCTCTTGTAGGTGTGTTAGCCCCGCCCATGCTGCAGTGTCATTGGCTGAAGTGGGACCATGAGAGGGAAGGTCAGGCCACCGGAGCCAGACGACCCCCTGTGCTGCTGTGAGTATGTGGACCGCCAGGGAGACCGGCAGCACATGGCGGCCTGCTGCTGTGACTGCGAGGACCTGGACCAGGCTTGTGACAGGTAACAGGCAGCAGGGGACACTCAATGAGGCCAAATTCCACATGGTTGCAAGCTTTAACTGGCACTCCTTCCCTTGCCTACATGCAGGTGGCTGAAGCGGCAGCCTCAGAAGGCTGACTCACTGTCCCGGGTGATCGCTGTGGTGACAGACCGACTGCGTGTGCCCTGGCTGCGGGGGGCCAAGCGGGTGGAGCTGTCGGTGGTGCCACCCCTGGTGCTGCTCCCTGTGCTCTTGCGGCTGGCAGCGCTGCATTTCCTGGTGGGCATGGCGGTATTGACAATCCTGCCGGTCCTGGTGCTCTGGTACTACTACGTCACGCACCGGCGTAAAGGCCGCACTCTCTTCTTCCTCAGCCTGGCACTCTTCTCCCTGGCCTATATGTACTACCTCTTCCTCACCGAGGTCCTTCCACGGGGTGATGTGGGAGGCGCCCAGCTAGTCACCGTGACAACAGGCATGGTCCTCACTCTAATCTCCTTGGCCCGCACTAAGCGCGACCCCGGATTTGTGAAGGCCTGCCCCTCCGATGCTCACAGCACCGTGACTTACTATGGAAGGCTGTCTGAGCAGGACGAGCAGAGCCAGTCCAACGGCTCTTGCCAGGTGGTGGCGATAGCCAGCCGGGCAGCTCCCCCGGGGCAGGGTACGGGGCCAGCGACACAAGCTAATGGCTTGAAGAAGAACTGGTGCCCCACTTGCAGGATAATGCGCCCCCCACGGTCAGGGCACTGCCGAATCTGCAGCGCCTGCGTTTATCGCATGGACCACCACTGCGTCTGGTGAGTTTCGCCACTCAGAATTCTGGGAGGTTTCCTCTATGTCCTTACTGATATGTGGGATGGCCACACTCACGTGGGGTAATTAGGCCTTACGTAACAAAGAGATGAGATGTCACAATGTCTGTGATGGCAGAGTGTGAATCAGTCTGTCCCTGTCACATCCTGCCATAACGAAGCAGGCGGACCATAAGCTGAGCTGACAGCCCATGACTCACTGTCTGATCGATCTGCCAATCAGGATCAACAGCTGTGTGGGTCAGGCCAATCATCGCAATTTCCTGCTGACGCTCCTCCTCTTCCTTTTGACGTCGGTGTACGGGATCAGCCTGGTGCTGCGTAGCATCTGTCCACGTCAGAACCTGCTTTATGCCCTTTTCTACTGCCCCGGCGTGTATGCCCAATACAGGTAGGGACATGGTGATCACAGACAGAGAGAGAGAGTTGCACACAGATGGTTTTTCTCAATATTCGTACTTAACCATACTTGTGTTCTTGCATAACCGTTTTATGTCCATTGCCGAAGACCAGATCCAATACTAAGAACAAAAATACAGAGGCCTGTAGAAATCCTGAATGTTGCTTTTGCATCTCCAGATATTAAGGATACATTGATTGCATCCGTACCAAATGAGAACAATCTCAAGATTCATTACATCCCAAATGCATTCTTAGGAGGTAAATTAGCAAAGCTGCTCTTGCAAAGACCACAAGTATGAGCATTCTTGGTATTGAGAAACACCCAAAGATAGACACACACTCACTCAGAGGCACAGATACCGGCATACACATATATTCCTATTATTGTAATCATTCTATTATTGAAATAATTTGTCATAATAATCCTTACTATGATAACCCTGACCCTTGTTCAGCCCTAACCTTAACCATAACTAACCAAACAAATTACAACACTTTTGGCTATTTTAGTTTTTTGACTGCAACTACATAATAGAGGTTTATATTGTGGGGACCTGAAAAATGTCCCCACAAGATAAAAAGTAACAGGTTTTACCACATTTTGGGGACCTTTGGTACTAATATAAACCAGCACAGACATATAGGGGCAGACTGGTAGACAGGGTTGTCCCAGGGCCCACCACCCCCATGTCATCAAAGTCTCCCCTCTGACTGCAAATCTCACACACACAAAACATTTATGAGAATTGAGTTGTTAATGTCATGCATGTTATACAGAGTTGTGACATGCTGCTTTCATATCTCTGATTTTTATGAATACAATCTCATTATGGTAGGAGTCAACACACAAAAAATATTTAGTACTAACCACAATTTTGAAATGAAAAAGTTTGTAATGTTTTGTAGTCAAACTATGTTGTCAAGGCATGTATTTAACAAAAAAAGCATGTTTGCGGAATTTGCTAACTACTGCAGTGCATGATGGTATTTGGAGGCTACTTGAATTTCATCATCTGCAACTATTGTAAGGGTGTGAGCAGGCCCTTAGTGTATTTTTGGAAGGGGGGGGCAGTGGCCCATTTTTGCCCCAGGGCCTAGTGTACAGTTGTTCCACCACTGCAGACACACCCATTATACCTCACTGAACTCCTGTTCCCTGCGACCTCACAATTATCAAGGCATCTCCTGCTCAGCTTAAGTAATTGCAGTTCTCTGTTTGTCCACAGCACAGCGCTGTGCTTCACTTGTGCCTGGTACAGCAGTGTGGTGACAGGGGGGCTGTTTCACCTACTGATGTTGCAACTCATCAACATCAGTTTCAACGTAACGGAACGGGAGGCGCGCCTCGCCCTGAGAGAGAAGACGGGCCGCACACGCCTCTGGGGTCTTGTTGTCGACACAGGGCTGCATACGCGTGGCTTCTGCACCAACTGGCTCGAGTTCCTCACCATGCACCTGTCGTTGGAGCCCATGTTCCCAGGGCTCCCTGACATGGTGTAGAGCCCCCTGCCTGTTACCGCTGGTGTGAACTGCTCTGGACTAAATGTTGTACCACTTCCCACCACCAGATGGCAGCACAGCATTGCATCCTGATACTGCTTGCTTCAGTATGTTGTGTGGAATAGAGGAGCCATACGAGTCATTTTGAGAGCCGGTTTTATTGGCATTTTGGTCTTGGCATCATAGCACAGTGTGCATCCCCATCAACCCCCCCCCCACCCTCTTCCCCAGTTCTGGTCACATGATCCATGAGCCACACGCAGGCCAGCTGCTGATCACTACATTGAAATGGTGCTGGTGCGTAATCCTGTGGTTTCTCTGCGGGCCTGGCCCGCATGTGTGCTCACACACACTTTCTGACGTTCCTCCCAGAGTTAGTGCCTTTTCTGAAAGTCTGTGGAGATGCAGCTCATGTGAATCGTTCCATGCTGCCATGAGACACACCGTGGTGCCTTTATATGAGAGAGAAGGTTCTGCAGCCTGGCCCTGACATGGATATCCTACAGTCACCTCCTCTCTCAGGGCCCTGTCTGTATTCTGGAGAGAGGGGCTCTGTCTGTATTCAGGGTGGGGGGAGGCGGTCCCTTCTGCTTTGTATCCTGCCAGTCTAATAAATCAGCAGTGTGCTTTGAGAACAGCTGTGTCTTTAATCGAGCTGCCAGCTGCTTTGGGTCAAATGTCAGAGTGGCTTGGGGCTTCCAGGTCCCAGGAAGTCACTGCGGGCAAGGCCCTGAAGTCGGGCAGAATCTTAGCCACCCGGCTGCGCAGCCAGCATCGTCTCTGCTCTCTCTCCCGCTCCTTGCACAGCAGCCCGGGGAGGGTCTGCCAGGCCCGGACGCAGCGCCGCACAACCCGCCTGCAGGAGGGAGACAGTCATATCCACATCACACGACACCCCCACGCCGTATCCACATCACACGACACTCCCATGCCGTATCCACATCACGCGACACCCCCACACCATATCCACATCCCATGACACCCCCACACATACGTGACCTCGGGCTCACCTGTCACTGTACTCTGAGGCTCGCCATTCCTGCTTGCGGGCCACAAGCTTTTCTCGGGTCATGTGAACCAGCAGCGCCACCAGCATCTTCCTCAGGGTCCCAAGACGGAAGAACTCATCAGCTCGCAGCGTCTGGGCCAAGGCCAGGTTCTTCAGCTGGGACGAAGCGGGAGTCAGGACGGCAGGGTCAGAGTGTGTGTGACTGCGCACGTGTTTGAGCGTGTCTGCCGGAGGCTGTGTGACTGTGCGCGCCTGCATGCGACTTCGTGCATCTGCGCGCCTGCTCACCTTCAGCCAGCCTCCAAGGCCCCTCCGCAGCAGGAGGTGCTTGTGGAGGTGGTCGGCACACGCCTCCCTCTCAGCCCGGCATTCACTCATGAGTCGAGCCCAGAAGAACAGGAATGACCTCTGGACCAAGCAGCCATGGTGCTCTATGGCCAGCTGGGAGGGGGGAGGGAGAGCCTTCAGATGGGAGATGGGGGATAAGGGGGGGGGGGGGCGAGTCTTGGTGCCTGGACTCACCTGCTCCTGGCAGCACCTGAGCTCCAGCAGACGTCGCCATGGCGCTAGACCGTGGAACAGCAGCAGGGCACGGCAGCGGTACTGCAGCGCCTTGGCATTCAGCTGGCGGCTTCTCTCTGCCCTGCGCTGGTACTCCAGCTGCCTCTAGGGGGCATATGTGAGTGGCATACACATTACTGTTATCAGAGATGATGTTCCTCTTTCTGGTTGGGGGGGGGGGGTCAGTGAGAGGAACTACCCTTGGGTTGGGGAATTGAGAAGGTCAACAAGGTGACAGATGGACAAACTCAAGCTTCTCCTGATCATTCATACAGATGGACGTGTATCGGAGGCTCACTCAGCAAGGCCCCGGTGCCCCCCCTGCTGCACTACATGCACCTCCTTCTCCTGCCTCCTCTGCTCCCTCTTCCTTTCCACCGCAGCCTGCTTCTCCTGCTCCTCTTCCCTCTGTCGTGCCTCCTCTGCTGCTTTCAGCTGCTTCTGGGAGCAGACAGAGGGGTCAGACAGTTTGAAGAGGTGCAGCCTTCACCCCACTGAGGAGGACAGTGCTTCACTCACCAGCTGTTCCTCCTCCCTCCTCTTCCTCATCTCTTGCACCTCCCTCTGTCGCTCTGCCCGCAGCTTGGCGCGCTCTTCCATAGCTATGAGGTGACACAGTGTGTCAGACCCCTGCCCCTGTGAGGTGTAATATTTACTCTGTTCCCAACAGGTGAGGGACACAGTAACTGACCTCTGACCACAGGGTGGGGATGGGTAGAGGGAACCTGGGAGATTCTGGGTACTGGTCGGGAGATCCTGGTTTGCCTCAGGAACCTCTGCTCACTGCATGTAAAATTACTGCCCTGGTTAGCAAAGAATCACAAATTGTCTTCACTGATCTGGTTTGAAAGCACGGTCATAGTTACCTGGGCCCTTCGGTGTACTGCTCCTGTTTGGCTTCCCGCTTCAATCCCAGCATTCTCTGCTTCTGACGCTCCTCCTTCAGGACAGACTGCTTAATGCCCTGCTGTTGTTGCTGGCCAATTAGCCCATTGCCCAGCGCATCCCTGTCCAGCCAACAGGGGGCACTGTGCTGTGTGGGTAGCACACCAGCGTCCCCTGCCTTTAGGGAGCAACAGAGAGCCCTTACCCCCTCTGGCGATGATAATGCTAAAGGTGAGACAGGTGGTCCTCCCACTCACCTGCCTCATGGAGTGCATCCCTCCAGGTCTTGAGGGAGGAGCCAAAAGCTGCCCCCCTCCCAGCTTTCCTGCCGCTGCCGCACTGACCAAGGCAGCCATCTTGCGCCGCGTCTCCTCCCGCCCCAGTTGCACATCCCTCTGCTGCTGCTGAGCACAGCACCAGGCCTGCCACTCCGCCAGGCTCCACCTCAGCAGCCGCCGTCGGTTACTCTCCAGTGCCAACTGGCAGCACCTGAAGTATTACATGCAGACAATGTGGTAGGGCCTTGCCAGATACTGCTGTTGGTGCTATAGGCCCCACTTTGATGCTGCCGCCAGACGTCCTACCTGTTGTCAGCGCGGAGCTGTTCCTCTGCTGCCTCAGCCTTTCGCCGTGCCTGCTGCTTCCACACCCACAGAAGCCAGGCACGCCATACTCTCAGTTGCCTATTCCAATCAGAGAGGGCCACCGCCTTGCCCATGCACAGGTGCTGCTGCAGCACCGCCCAGTACCAGGCTGAGAAGTGGCTCTGCAGACACTGACACAGAGAGAGGGGGCAATAAATGGGCACCGGCAGGGCTCCCGATGTTGATCATGCACACGTGACCAAACACGCACCCGCAGCCCCTGCAGCTGGGCTTTGGCCTCTGCCACCTGCATCCTGTGCAGCCACTGGCTGTCCTGTTGCATACTAGATTGAGAATTCTGGGAGTGCTGGGAGAGGCCCGGGTCAGACGGGGAGGAGACATGGTTCGACCTGTTCCTGCTCATCCTCTCCTGCTCCCTGCAGGAGCACAGCACAGTCATAGGACCTCCATGTATGGAATAGAACCAGAACCAGAACTTTGACTGGACCAGCCAGAGAAGGGATTTCTGGGTACTGTACCTCATCCGCTGCTCCAAATTCCTCTTCTCCTCCATTTCTTTGCACAAATGCACCACCTCCTGTTCCAGAAGAGCCTCCTGCCTCCTCAAGTCCTGCTGGTGTGCCTCTCTACTCCCTTCCTTCCTCCCTGTCTCTCTCCTCCCTTCCCTCCTCAATGCCTCCTCTCTGTACCTCCGCTCACATTCAGCATCCAGCCATGTCTGTCTCTCTTGAACCTGCTGATGATGGATTTCCATGGTGACGCATGGGTCCATCTGCTTCCTCTTCTCTCTCTCTGTATCCAGTCTAGATTCTTCTAGTATCCCACAGTCCACTGCTGTCCTCTGCATGAGCTCCCACAGGAGTGTGTGCGCTGTGGTGCTGTCTGCTTCCTGTTCCAGGTGTGAGTGCAAGTCTAAACAAAACAGGAGGAGGCGTGAGAGGCAAATGCTGCAGCTTTGTGTGTGTGTGTGTGTGTGTGTGTATATATATGCATGAACTCAAAATGTGCAATTGCTCTACTACTTAACCATCAAAATTGGTGTGTTGCAGAAATCCCGGCTGCTCAGAAGGTGATATAAGTGGGCTGTTGGTCTCTCTCTCATCCTCTCCCAGCTCCAGCTCCAGCCGCAGTTTGCTGTTCATCCAGTCACTCAGCAGGGTCTGGGCTACAGGGGGTGGGGCTCGTGAGGGTGCCACCTGACCTGTGTTTAAATAACACAGGCCCATACATGCACAAGCCTACCTTCTCTGAAGGCGTCATCGTGATCACGGAGCTGCTCCTGGTTACGCAGAGCTATGGCCTGGCCACGCCCACCCACGCCGGGCACTCCTCTCTGCCTGCCGCAGAGCACCTGGGACATGGCCAGCTGCGAGGCGGCCTCCACCTTCTGTGGGACCACAGTGACAGTCCTAACCCTGCTCGGCACCATCGCGACCAGCGGGGGTGTATTTACAGAGGGACAGCTAAAGGCGAACGGGAATCTGAACACGTGAACATGCCCCTCCAGTAGCTGGACCTCATGCCGAGCTGGTCATGTGATATAATGCCCCTTTCTTTGACAGTTTACTCGGGAACAATTAAAAGCTGAAAAGTTCGTTCTTACCTGCCTCCAGTGCTCAATGTCATCTCTGTTCACCTTTGCCTAGTTTTGGAAGTAAACGAAACCGAAATGTAATGTATTGGTCGATGATTTGCCCGAAGTTACTTTGTTTCTGGTGGAAGCAGGAAATTACTGGAATTCGTTTAAAAGATGTTTCTTTACCTTAGTATGCATTTCATTCTTGGTGATCCTCTTCCAGCGAAAGAGGTCCGGCTTCGGCACGAAATGTGCCATGTGGTTTGAGGTTCTTTTGCCTCTGCTTTCTGGAATTTGTGTGTAGCGATACGCAGTATTTTTAAAGCTACAGAGCCCAAGAAGAGCTAGATTCACGAAAAAGGAACCGGTGCGCTATCGGCTCCGAAGTACCATCGGTAATATAGCCGTTGTCTTAACAGTTGCTACTGCTCGATGTGGCGTCTTGGGTATTGTAGTCCAAATAATGACCCATCCGCTGTAATTCCCTAGTTTAAAACAATAACAGAACTACAAGTCACAAATTACTGAGTAACCATAGCAATGACGTCTCGCACAACGTCTTGAACTTGAAGCTGTAAATACATAATTAGCACGAAAGTCTACAAAATGTCACTCAGTTATATTAATCCTATTATTAGACCTCTAACAACCAGGCAAATGTCTTTGTTTCTGCCAGTCGTGAACCAGAGTTTTTTTCCCCATTCACGACTGCTTGGACAATTGTTGATGATGTAATAAGCGGGGGTTGCTAGAGCGCATGCTCATAATCGTGAGTCGAGTGGTGTTACACGTGAAGCCGTTCAAGTTGGGTGAGTTAATGTGAAAAGTTAACACATTTTTCATTTCGAGTAGCTGACTCCTCTTTATTGTTATTTATTGTAGCATTTTCTTATTTTGTTAGCTATCCGGTAGAGTTATTGTTTTTTTGATGCATCGTTTACGGCAGAGTTAACGCGTTCTGATCTACTACCTGCCCGTGTCCCTGTCACGGTTAGGGTTGCCAGCTCTCAGGCATTCACGCTTTAAGAGTCTTACGACATATCGATATTATTCCATTGTAAACTTAAAATTAGCTACATCGTGTGCATGTGTGTGTAGACTTCAAAATTTCATTCCAGCCAGCTGACCAAAGTTGACAGCCTTGCTCTTAGGAAGTGATAATTACCGTCATTACAAGCCGATAAACAAGGGGGGGGGGCTTTCCTGCGCGGAGCGAGCCGATGTCTGTCGCGCTCTGACCGTGCCTCTTCTCCCCCTTTAGGAAAGTAGCATGAAGCTGGAGCTTCGCCGGCTGGTGCGGGGCGCTCGGCTGGGGATCCTTAGCGGGCTGGGCGGGGGAGGGCAGCACAGCCTAGAGCTGCCGGGGTGCCTGCTGTACACACGCTGTTGCTCTGTGCCGCATCTCACGCAAGATACGCTTCGGACACTAGGGGCACTGCCCGCCGGCGCCCTGTTGCCTCTGGCCTCCGTGTGAGCACCGGCGCACGCACACACGCACACACACACACACACACACACACACACACACACACACACACACAAAATCCACTTATTCATATCTTTATGGGGGTTCACCATTCATTTCCATGGGCATAACCCTAAAATCCCAGCTATGACTATCTTAACTCCTATACAGCCCTAAACTTAACCATAAGTAACCAAACAAAATACAAGTCTGTTGGACTTATTTTTTTTTGGATTGCATTTGCAGATTTTCAAAAATAATTGGTGAAAAGTTATGGGTTTATCATATTGTGGGGAAATCCGGTCCCCCAAATTTAATAATTACAAAGATGTGCACACACACTCTCATAATCACTGCATCATTATACACACATGCAAATGCGATGCACATTTCATATAGATGATGCCTCTTACCATCAGCTGGGCTTCACGGCCCTGGCTGTGTGGTCTCTGTCTTCTCTGGGCCTTTAACTGGCTGTCCCTCACTCGCTTTTCTAGGGCTGAGCATCAGGAGGTGCTAGAGTCCTTCCAAGAGGGTGCAGCTAAATTTGCAGGTATCACACTTCACTGTCTGTTTGCCCTCCCTCCCCTGTCCTCCTGGATCTGAGGGGAGCGGTCTGTGATCTCATTACAGTACAGTCTGCCTGTGTGTTATGAGGTGAGATGGAGAATAGAGTGATTAAAAGATGAGTACGGTCTGGCCACAAAATCCCCGTGGATGTGTGCGGATCCTCCGGCAGCCTGATGGCGCTGCTGAGCCATGTGGCTGGCGTCTTTCCTGCAGGTCTCCACAACACGGCGCTCTTCTGCTCACTGCATGACCCCGCAACCCTGTGCCCCTCTGGCTACAACACCAACAAGGTGAGGGTTCTCTGTTCTTGGGGCACTGTGATCTGACTGGACACCACAACCTCTGACACGCACATACAACCCACAGACCGTGTCCATATGGAGTAGCGGCGGCCGCATCGAACTCACTGTCCAGCGCTACATGGCACTTCAGGCTGCTGTTCGGCCTAACTGGTACCAGAGCCTGGCGGACGGAGACACCCAGCAGGCTGGAACTTCGCTAAAGAGGATTCGCAAGTCCGTGGATCGGACACTGGCTTTCCTGGATGAGTGTCTACTGCTGCATCACAAGGCTCAGGTACCCCGTCACCCCCTGTTACTGTGGTGTGGGCCCGGTGACCCCGTGATGGCGCTGAGCAGTGAGTCCCCCTCACCCAGGAGCTGGCTGAGGCCCACATCTTTGGTGTAATCGAGGGAGGCGACGTCCTGGAGGAGCGGCTGCGCTCGTCGCGGGAGACAGCTAAGAGGCCCGTCAGCGGTTTCGTCCTGGATGGCTTCCACTCGAGGGCCATGGAACGGGAGCTGCAGCACCAGCTGATTGTCGCAGTAACCAGTGAGCTGCCCCAGGATAAGCCCAGGTGTGTGTGGCTGTGGGCTCACTACTGTAATCTGAAGCCAAAAGTAAAAAGATCTACCACAGGGGGAGGAGCAGAGTCACATGTATATGTACTGTGCTGCTGGCTTTCCTAAAGTGCTAATTTTGACAGCAAATTTTTATTTAGTTTTAGTCATAGTCAACTTACAGTCAACTAAAACTACAGTTGATTTAATCGACTAAAATTAAAAGTGCAAAATGTTTAAAGTTTCCCTTTGATTTCTAAAAGTCATTATGTTCACCAAAATGAAATGAAACCAATGTTAAGGAATGGTATTAAGGTCTGACTGTGCAGTACAAGGTCTGACTGTGCAGTACACAAAGACAGACGTAGTTTATTGGTGATTTCATGTTCGTTGAAGTTTACGCTTTTTAACAACTGTATAAAGTAATGTAATTTGTTATATAAATCAACTCTGGTGAAACAAAAAATGTACGTTTTCCGTTCCGTTACGTTTCGGTCAGTACCCACAGCTCATGACCATAGATGAGGGTAGGAACGTAGATTGACCGGTAAATCGAGAGCTTTGCCTTTTGGCTCAGCTCCTTCTTCACCACGCATCACTGCTGACGCTGCACCGATCCGCCTGTCGATCTCCCTCTCCATCCTTTGTTTTAAATTGTACTGAATTAATTTGATTTGACAGTCAGGTATTGATTACATGCAATGTTGATGCAACTAATAGGCTACTTAAATATATATCACACTATTAAATGGTTAGGCATTATGATCTTCTGGACTTTTGCTTCAAGAAATTTTCTCTAACTGAACCTCTTTAAATTTTAGTTGAATGCCTCTGCCGTATGCAAAATACATTAGTTCTGATTGGATCTCGTTTCTGGCAAACATTTTCGTCTTTATTTCATTTTTATTCGTTGACGAAAGTGTCAATACACTTCATCTTAGTCTTGGGCCTCGTGAAATAATTTTAGTTATCGTCTCGTTTTAGTCTAAAAATAATGGTCGTTGACGATAACTATGATGAATATTTTTTGTCAACAAAATTAACACTGCTTTCCTGGTCATTTGACTTGGTTACTTTGGTGCTGTGTGTGTGTGTGTGTGTGTGTGTGTGTGTGTGTGTGTATTGCAGGCTGCTCCAGGGTGTTGGCCGTCCTGATGAGGTGCTGGCATGTGTGGAGTTAGGTGTCGATCTCTTTGAGGGCTTCTTCCCCTTTTTGGTCACTGAGCGGGGCTGTGCCCTCAACTTTGACTTCAATGTCAACTGTGATCCTGAGAGCAAAGGTATGGTGCCCCCTGCAGGTCAGGAAGTATATGCCTTAACAGTTTGGTCATACTCTGGTGGATGTGGCTAGTTTGAGCATAGGCCGACTGGTATGATGTGGTCTAGGGTCTGAGTGTTGCATGAAGAGATCTGTGGCTCTGTGCAGAGCAGGAGGAGAATGGAGTTGCAGAGAAGCTTATGAAGGACTCCGAGGAGCCGGCAGACCTGCAGCAGGTGACCTGCTTTGAGATGAATCTGAAAGATGAGAAGTGAGTGCCTGTACTTCTGTTTCATTCGGTTTGGGGTGTTGTCATGCAACTTTGCATCCATTTTTATGTCTGACTTACAGGTACCGGGATGACTTCCGCCCCCTGGTGGAAGGGTGTGAGTGTTATTGCTGCAAGAACCACAAGAGGGCATACTTGCACCATCTGCTGGTCACCAAAGAGCTGCTCGCTGGTGTGCTGCTGATGCTGCACAACCTGGCACACTATGGTGGCTTCTTCTCTGCCCTGCGGAGGGCGCTGGAGAGTGGTCACTTTGAGGCCCTGAAAGGCAAGGTGCTGGGACTCAGCAGGAGTGTGTAGTGAGGGGGCAGGGTTCTCAGGGGCGGGGCTTTGGATGTGGGTCCCTCCCCCAGGTGTACAGTGACCATGCTTTTAGCATTTTTATTGACTTATGAACTGTTTGTTTTTAAATGACTAATAAAATGTTGCCTCTGATTTCTGGTTTACTGCTGATTGTGATTGTAAATGGTTTTTACAGCAAAAAAAATAAAAGAACCTGTGATGGTGTGAATCGGTCCCGGCTGAATAAGGGGTGATGCTGGTGATGGGCTCTCTTCTGGGCTGGAGTGGTCCCCTGTGGAATGAGGGTCAGGCTTCCTCTTCCTGTCGGCTCTGGTCGTGCAGACATGCTGGACAGTGGGATCTGCAGCAGCAGTATGCTAGGAGTTAATTTCGCGAGGCTTGTGTGGGAAGAGTAAGTCAACAGGAAGCTGAAAACCAGGCAGAATGCTGAGCAAAGTGTTGGACAAAGGGCAAAGGGGGTGGACACTGCTGCCATCCTCAGCCGTTTACTGTGTGTCTGTCTTGCTGCAAAGTGCCTCATTGAGCAGCTTGGGGGTGTAATCTGTACTCAGCAGCTCTGCTGGACGTCTGTCTTTCTGGGGAGTGTCTCCTTGCGTAATGGCTTCCTCTGATATCCGACAGACTGCCGACATTAAGGACTCTAGGGATGACTCCGAAAGCTCTCAACCCCTTTTCTGCTGTCTGTCATTTTATAATTGCACACTGTGCATGAATCGGCATTATTTTCATGAGCTGATGCACATGGGCCAGTAGAATGTGTGCGGCGAGTTCTACAAATCCCTCACCTCTGTGATCTGTGCACACAGCTTAAGGGATTTAAGGGTGCCCAAAAAATTTTTAAATTGTTTTTTGTGGTGTATTGCATCAAAGTGAGGGATGTGGCAGTGATGAATCCAGCGACAGGGCTGTAAGTCATACAGTAACCGGGGTTCCCCAAGACATGTCTGTTTGCTGTGTAGCCAGTGGAGGGCAGCCTTAGCAATCCAAACTGTAGTTGCACAGAGCAGTTAGCATTACCTGCTGCAAGATTTACTGAGGCTGAGTTTGCAGATGCTCATGTCAAATAAAAACCGTGGCTGGACTTGGAGCGGAGTCTAATTAAATTTTTTAGAAAACAGCAGAATTCATTACGCTCTGTTCACAGAGACCTCTGCCCTTCAGTCAGATTTAACTGTAAGCGGTAATGCTGAGGTGGTGTGGGGATATCTATGCGTTACATGTGTGCGCTGGCCATGCACTAGCTGCTACTTGTTCTTTTCAGAAAATAAATTACTGTAGCTGTACTGATGCTTGACCAGTAGAAGGTGCCCAGGGTGTGGGACCACGGACTGGTTTAGCTGTGAGGAGCGGCTGCTGAGCTGACAAAAGCCCTCTCCCTGGTCACTACCCATCAGGTATTGGTGTGTGAGATTGGGAACAGAGCGTCTGCCCTATTGGCCAATTTGGAGAGGCATTTGAGGAGCATAGACCAATGAGGACACCAGGAGGGAGGAGCAAGCTGAGGCCAGCAAAGCCCAACAGTGACAGAGTGTGAGGCGTGATCTTTAAGCAGCCACATGTCCTCTTCGGAACGAGTGTGAAGGACATGGATATCATTATGGATGTTGGTCTGTGTCAGTGACGGCATCACATAGTGCCTGTGGTCAACATGCATATAACATTTTATTGCCAAATACATCAAGGAGGGGAGTCTAGCTGACCCCAAACCCCCCACAGCCCATGGTGTTAAGCAGCCCTGTGATGGCAGTCAGGCATCCGGCAGGTCTCTCTGGAAGGCCAGAGATGTCTCCCTTTGAGATGTGATGTCTTTGATCAGTGAGTCCTACTATGTATGACTATTCATATTCCAGGGCAGTTGATGTCACAAGGAACCTCCCGTGGTCACTTCCTGTCCTGGGCTGTTCCCATATGGGCTGTTCCCATAGTTACTTCCCATTACCTGTTTTTTGAAGGCTGAGTTAATGATCCCCAGTTAACAGAAAAAATACACACAGAGAAAGGCACAAACCACCTAGAGCAGGGGTGTCAAACTCCAGTCCTGGAGAGCCGGAGCCCTGCACAGTTTTTGGTTCACCTTCATTTAACACATCTGATTGTGCTAATTACCACAGAGCTCATAAGTGAAATCATTTGTGGTGGAACAGGGAAAGAGCTAAGCTACACAGGGCTCCGACCCCCCAGGATTGGAGTTTGACATGCTTGACCTAGAGGGTAATGAGACAAGGTCCTTGTCTGTTGTCCTGCAGAAGATGCAGGTTCTCACCAGGCAGCAGGGGGCGCTCTCCTCCCTCTGCTTTGTGGGGTGAGCCCTAATGGCCTTCCAGTACTATCATCACCCTTTTCCTCTGGGCTGATGTCCTTTAACAGATTGGGTTAGAATTTCAGCTTCCGTTTCACAGGTAAACCTTCAGTCACTGGGGACCTTCTCCATGTCCTTGGTTCCCGCAGGCCAGTAGAGCGAGTCACATGCCATTTCAGGTTATCTGGGCTGTTTGTCCCAGGCAAGCAGCGGGGAGAGGGGTGGGTCTATGCTCAGCAGGAGAGGATCTTGATGAAGGCACGCCGGAAATCGACGTTGAACGTTGTGTAGATGATGGGGTTGACAGCACTGTTGACATACCCCAGCCAGGTGGCAGCACTGTAGAGCTGGTTGGGCACATGGCAGCCCTTGCAGTGAGTCTTCAGGATGTGGGTCACGAAGAAGGGCAGCCAGCAGATGAGGAAGACGCCTAGATTACAAAGAGTCTCTCAGCATCAGTCAAATGGCAAAGATGGGCGTTGCTCCAGCCCCCGCCTCGCCACATTAACACGACCTCAGCATACTCACCCAGCACAATGGCCAGCATCTGTGTTGCCTTCTTCTCCCGCGTCTGCATGTTCCCACCCCTATGGGCAGTGTGCAGAGAGACCAGGGTCTGTCCATTGGGTAGATTCTTTACCCCCTGCCTCCTCTTGGCTGCCTCCTTTTTGCTCTCTGCTGCCAAGCTCTCCTCCTGAGCCTCCCTCTGTTGGAGCTCGATGTCCAGTCGCGGCAACGATGCCTGGCTCACATTGTAAGAGTCTGCCGATTCTGCTGCCCGTCTGTCCTCCACGGTGGGGCTTTTGAACTTCCAGTGTAGCAGGCAAGTGGAGGGGAAATGAGGGCCGCACAGGGCCTGTGGCCTCCGCTGAAAGGAAGCAGGGATCACAGGAAGTAGCAGACAATAAGTGTCACCAGTGTGACTTCACAATTGCATCTAGTTTATCTGATCTATACAATCTTTATTTCTAAAAAAACAACTGACCAAAATACAATGAACATGATGCAGTGAAATTTACAATATACAGGGTTTCATTTTAACAGAGTTACCTGGAAATAAGCAAGTAACAGTCTGAAAATGGAAAATAACATTTATGATTCTAGTTTTTCATCTAAGGTCCGTTTTTGTGATCAGCTTAACATTTTAAACACAAAAGTGAGTGTGCGCACACACATACACACCCTGGTCCTCCTTGCCACTTTGATCTCAATGGAGGACGCCTCTCTCTCCGTAACGGACTCCTCCTGTAGAGAGAGACAGTGTTAAGGTCAACTGCCCTCGTTAGCTCTCGCTTAGCATGCGCTGCCTGTCTCCATGCTCTCTCCTTCCACTTACACTGACCCCCCCTCCCAGCCCTGCGTGTCACACACTGTACTGTGCCTGTCTCAGTACTCCGCTGCCATCTCCAAAACATGGGCCACTGTCCCGGATACCCAGCGCCCAGAGTACTTCACTCACAGTGTGCAGGCTCACTGCTCCCCCAAGCATCACTACACTGCTCCGTCACTCGTACATGTACCTGCACTCTCACGCTGGCCCCACAGCTGGTCATTCTTCTCCTCCGTCTCCTCCTTTTAAAGAAGACGTAGATGCGCATGTACACCAGCAGAGTGACCACAAAGGGCAGGTAGAAGGACACCACAGAGGAGTAGACGACGAACTCAGGGTTTGAGATGGAGCAGGTGCTGGCTTTGTCTGGCGGACACAAGCACAGTCAACAGCAGCCCTGAGCGCATCTATACCATGTGGCTGCTGCTGTACCCCACTACAATACAGGGTCGCCCCAGAGTCACATAATACTGTTTCTGTGTGTACATGGCCCCCAGGCAAGGGCGTAACTTTGGCTGGAACATTGGGGGGGTTGAGGTCTCCACCCATTACGGGGGAAGCATGATTATCAGGGGGGTTGTATTAGCTGGTTTTGATTTATTGGGGGGGCTACAACCCCCCTATCCCCCCCCCCCCCCGTAATTTACGCCCATGCCCCCAGGGCTTTCAGGACACATGTCTCACCTGTGGTGTTGAATCCAAACAGCAGGGGGCACGACACGGCAAAGGCAAGGATCCAAACGGTGGCGATCATGGCTGACACTCGGCCGCGGGACTTGCGGCTGGCGGTGTAGAGGACAGGCATCACCACTGCCAGGTACCTACAGAAAGACGCTTTCAAGTAGAGCCGCTCCACAGGTAACAGTGTGATGCCCAGCAGCAGTGCATGCTGGGATAGACATACCTGTCGATGCTAATAGCACACAGGTTGAGGATGCTGGCTGTGCACATCATAACATCCAGGGTGACGAAGATGTTGCAGGAGAGCCGGCTGAAAGGCCAGTCTCCCCCCAGCACCTTCACACATGCGTGCAAGAAGGCATGAATAAACAGGAAGTGATGGGTATCAGCTTATTCATAGCAGCTGACTATGCAAGTCGTCTAATTTACAGAATCTCAGGCACAGTAACACCACAGTAAAAAGATGACTGCTGTGCCACCTCACCTCCAGGTAAACCACCCAGGGCATGACCAGGATGGCCACCAGCAGGTCGGCGACAGCGAGACTGACCACCAGGTAGTTGGTGCTGGTCTGCAGGGCCCTCTCCCTCAGCACCGCCAGGCAAACCAGCGAGTTCCCAAATACCACCACTAAGATGAGCAACGCATACAGCAGGGCGCTGTAGTTCCGGCCCTCCTCCTGTTGGACTCCGGTCCCATTCAGCGTATCTGACTTGTTCCAGAAGGCGCCAGTAGCCGCAAACAGCGACATGGTCCTAGTGAGCACACGGTCGATTTTAGGACGGGACCCTCCGCCTCCCTGGGCAGCTGTCAGCTTAGCGAGGATGAAAAGCCCCAGCACGCTCTTTAACTTCACTGCTTTGACGGAATTAGCGGCCCCTATAAATATCGATTACTGCCGAGTCTCCAATAACTCCTTTGCCTGACGCCGGCTTACCTGACAAACAGTTGGACTAAAAACAACACAATAAAGTCGCACGAAACCTGGTTATTTAACTTGTAAGATGACAAAGATATAAAAACTGAGTTGTCCGTCTTAAAATTATATTATAATGTTAATGTTATATTGCGAGTCGACTTAAATTATAAAATTTAAAAGCACTGTCAAGACACCAACCCGACGCGAGTAAATTGATAGCCAGCTAGGACGGCTTCTGGAGCACGAGACCGGATTATGATCGATCAATGTTCAATAACATGAAGAAAAACTGCAATATATTGCGAAATAGTCCACCAAGTACGAATTTTACAATAGTACACATTTCAATAGCGCCCATCACCATTGCACAGATTATAACGGTACACACCTGTTAGTTTTCATAAGATCCCTGGCCAGCGGCAGCTTCTGCGCGCTTTACTGTTTCCACATAGCGTCCTGCGCCGGGAGCGGTTCCTGTCCCCCGCGGGCTTGTGCGCAGATCTGCGGCTGGGAGCGCTGCTCCAGCCCGTTCTCGCGTCTCCCTCGCATAACGGACGCTTGTGCCTTTGTGGTGGAGGCGCGGTCACTGCCCGGTCTTCAGGTCCGGAGACGGGGGAAGCGCCGGAGAGGAAGAGTATCCTTCACTCTTAAATCACTTTATTAAATTTCGGCACAGTGCTGATTTCTATTTTAAATACATAAATATGACTGCATAAAGGAACATGGTTTTGCATTATAGACATAACGGGTTTATTAAAAAGAAAAAGCTGGTTAAATATGTGTTTTCAGCGGCTGTCACCATTTAAGGGTCTGACCGCCTCGTCTGTGGCGGCTGATGCTAGAGTAACGAACTGCGAGGGTCTCACTCCGGTTTTTATACTAACATTATATTATTAATTTGGCATCATAATGCACAAGCTATAAACATATATGTTGCAGCAAAACATAATTGGCTATAAGATGCAGAAAGATAAGATGAACTATTAATTCCATGAAGGGTGGGATCAGACAATATAGCCTACACAACATAATAGCGCATCAAGAAGCTAATGTACATTTATAATCTTATAGAACAGTGTATGTATGCATGGTGCTAGTGGTGAGGGACACAAAGGTTTGAAGCTGCTTGACGGTACACTCTACTGGTACTGAGGCTTCCTGGGCATCTTAGATACCTCTTACCACTGAACTAACAAAACGCAGATGTTCAGACAAGCCAGCCACAGAGCACTGTGCATTTAAGTGGGGCTGGAATGTCCAGGCGGTTGAAAATCGTTGAGGTTGATAACCCAGAAGAAGAAGCTTCTGTTTTACCTTTGATCTGGATGGTCCATCAAAATGAATTCAGCAAATTGTGCATCCTTTTTGCACATGTTGTGATGTGTGTTTCATGAGTGGGAAGGACAGGAAAAAATGAAGAAAATGAACAGAGAGAAGTAAATCATCAGAAGCAGGCGGCCGCCCTTGGGCAGAAAAATAGGCAATAATCAGATTTCTTAGGGATGGTCATGTCCCACCCACCTCTCACCTCTTAAGGAGGGGGGGGGG